GTGTGACCCAGCTCCTAAGAGGTCATGGATGAGTGCCAGTCTGGGTACCAGGGGTTGGGGACCTCTGCAGAGGACAGAGTAGCGTGGGAAGTAAACTTCAGAGATCTTTCAGAGGCATTTTCAAGTATTCAGATGAATACTGAGGAGCTGTGTTTGTGAGTAAACTATCCAAGGCTAGGGGAAGAACAACTTGAAAGCATTAGAGGGGGACAGTGCCCAGTGCTCACATAGGACCTGGATTAGCACCTCATTTCAACAACCAGAGCAGAAAACTGTATAATTTATGGGGCCCTGGATTGGGCACTAAGAAGGGCCTTGCCTCAGTAGTGGGGAAAATAATGCTAGACAAAATGCCGTTCTGATCCGGCTAAACAAACCTTAAATGCGAGACCCCAAAGAATCAAACTGTTGCTAAGCAACTTCTCTGCATTCCAAAACAAAGATCAAGAACATTTATAGGAATCTAGAAATATGTGACGCCCTACAGGGCAAAATCCACACTATGTGGCATATAATAGAGAATTACCTGGAATACAACAAAGCAGGAACGTATAACCCACAACAAGAAAAACCAATTAATTTACATTAACCTGGAAATGACAGGATGATAGAATTTGTACAAAAGGACACTAAAAGTTTTCCAAATGTGAAAACTACAAACCCACAGATCCACTAAGTTCAATGAATACCAAGCACAAGAAACACGAAGAAAACTACACCAAGACAAGACATCATAATCAAAGAGCTAAAAGCCACCGATGAAGAGAAAACATTAAAAAACAAAAAAAAAACCACCCAGGAAAAATGACACGTTATTTATAGAAAAACAAGATAAAGATGTCTCATCAGAGACAATGCAACCTATAAGATAATGTAGCAATGTCTTGAATGTACAGGAAGAGTAAATCCAGAATTCTTTGCTCAATAAAAATACCCTTTAATGAAGAAGGTAAAATAAAACTTTTTCAAGCATACAAAAGCTGAAAGAATTTTTCACTAGCAGACTTGCATTATAAAAAATTTTAAGAAATTCTCCTTTAAGCAGAAGAAGAATAATACCAGATGGATACTTGGATCCGCACCAAATAAATAAATGATACCAGAAATTCTAACTAGGTAGGCAATTTTCTTATTATTTAAATCTTTAAAGTTAAAGAGATAATTGAAATTTAAAGCAAAATTAATATGAGCACATTGTGGGATTTATGTAAATTGTAGAAGTGAATTGCATGACAGTAGCAGAGAAGCCTGGAGGATCTGAAATGGAAGTGTCTGCTGCAAAGTTCTTATACTGCACATCAAGCAGTATTAAAGGTAGGCTATCTTGTTAAAGATGAAACTCAAAAGCAACCATTTAAATAATGCAAGAAAGAATTATAGTTAATGAGAAAGAAAGGGAGATACAATGAAATCATAACAAATCCTCAATTCATCTAAAAACAATCAAAAGGAGGAAAACGAAAGAAAATTAGAACAAATTAAAAGCAAATCACAAGATGATAGATCTAAACGAAACCATATTGATGATCACATTTTGTATAAATAAACACCCCAATCAGGAGGCGGAGGTTTTCAGATTAGAAAAAAACAAATGAACAAGATCCAATCCTATGCTGTCAAAAAGAAATATGCTTTAACTATAAAGGTACAATAGATCAAAAGTAAACATTAGAAAAGGATGTAAGTTGACAGTACTCAAAAGAAAGTAGGACTGAGGATCAATATTAGATGGATAGATTTCAGATTAAGAATATTATCAGCCGGGCGCGGTGGCTCAAGCCTGTAATCCCAGCACTTTGGGGAGGCCAAGGCAGGTGGATCACGAGGTCAAGAGATCGAGACTATCCTGGTCAACATGGTGAAACCCCGTCTCTACTAAAACTACAAAAAATTAGCTGGGCATGGTGGCGCGTGCCTGTAATCCCAGCTACTCAGGAGGCTGAGGCAGGAGAATTGCCTGAACCTAGGAGGCAGAGGTTGCGGTGAGCCAAGATCGCGCCATTGCACTCCAGCCTGGGTAACAAGAGTGAAACTCTGTCTCAAAAAAAAAAAAAAAAGAATTTATTTCATAATGATAAAGGTGTCAGTTGATCAAAAAGATGAATATTAATCCTAAATAATTATGTATTAATAAAACACTTCCAAAATATATGAAACCAAAACTAACAGAACGGAAAGGCAAAATAGACAAATCTACAATCATGATTGGAAATTTTAACATTCCTATTTTAATAATTAGTAGAACAAGTAAGAGATAATCAGAAAGGATAAAGAAGATTTGAACAACATTAGTAATCCACTCACCCTAATTGATACAGAACACTCCAGCCAATTGTAAAATGCTTATACTTTTCAGGTATACATGGAATGTTTACCAAGATGAATTATATTTTGACCCATAACATAAATCTAAGTTTTAAATGACTTATGACATACAAATACATTCTCCAAACACAAAGATAAGTTAAATTAGAAATTAATAAAAGTATCTAGAAATTCCTAAAGATTTTGGATACTAAATAACATACTTCAAAATAATCCATGGGTCAAAGAAGAAATCAAAGGGGAAATAAGAAAACATTTTGAACCAAATGAAAGTGAACATACACATATCAAAATTTTGAGGTTACCACTAAACCATTCTTTAGAAGGAAACTTGTGCATTAAGAAGAAACAGAATTAAATAACCTTAACTTTCACCTTAGGGGGAAAAAATTACAAACTAAACCAAAGCAGCAAAAGAAAGAAAATGTAGTTCTTAATTCACAATGGTTCAATTTAACAACTTTTTGATTTTACAATGGTGCAAAAGTGCATTTAGTAGAAACCATACTTGGAGTACTTATACAACCATTCTATTTTTCACTTTCAGTAGAATTTTCAATAAAGTACATGAGCTATTCAACACTTTATTATAAAATAGGCTGTGTGCTAGATGATTTTGCTCAGCTGTAGGCTCATAAGTGTTCTGAGCATGTTTACAGCAGGCTAGGCTAAGCCTGGATGTACAGAAGGTTGGGTATGCTCAATGCATTTTCAACTTATGGTATTTTCAGTTTATGATGGCTTATCAGAATGTAATACCATTGTAAGTCTATAATAAAGATCAGAACAAATATCAACAAACCAGAAAATGATGCCACTTCAAATGGGTGGAGAAGGAAACTCCAAAAGTGTGTTCCTCATAAAAGTCACACATAAATTGGCAAAACTGTCAGAATTAGTTTTGTCAGAACTCTGAATACTAATACAAAATTTACAGTACCAGATGAATGCCTAATCAAATTAAAAAAAAAAAAAACCTGCCTCTCCAAAAGGGAACTTTATGGTGCTTTAATTTACTTCCGCCCCCATCTTCTACTCTCTAGCTCTGCAGCCTCCCCGACAATGTGGGGAGAAAACAATAGCCCACATTACCAAGGCAGGTTCTTAATATGAAGGAAGCAGAGCAAGCCTCATTCTTAAAGAATTGTAGTTGTTTGTTTTGACTTGTCTATGTCTCCCTGAACAAGTGGTTCAAGGGGCTTGTCTTTATTTCACTTAACTTGAAATTCTCCCAGAGCTAAGTCTACTCAGAGGACATTAGTAGAAAATATTCCAAGGCAAATGTATGAGCTGCTGCCACCTGGGGCAAGGGATAAGAGTTGGGGCAAACCACTAACTACCCTGGCAGGAAAAACCAGGGAATAAGATGCCTTGGGAAATAAGGGCTTTGAAAAGGTAGCATATATTTCTGGGAATTTTGAAGGCAACACTCATGCCCAAGAATGATGCATTATCAGAAAATGCCTGAGAACATAACCTCTCATATATGACTGACCTACAGATTCTGTGCAAGCCAGAAGTGAATGAAGGCAAAGGTAGAGCTGTAAACTGCCTGGCTGAGGAAGGTCTCTTCCAAAACACATACATAGCCCACCTGCAAATGCTAGGAGATTTTTGTTGTTGTTGTTATTTAAGGCATTTAAGGAAGTTTCTGTCAAATCACTACCTGACAACTAAAC